AACGGGAATTTTTGAAGTGCATATTGCCAGACATGAGCAAGTGGCAACATTGCGAGACAGTGACCTTGAGCAAGTAAACATTTCGCCATTTAGAATTTAAGATGAAATTCACAGTATCCCAGCAGAGATGTTACAGCAGTCAATGAGAAATCTCAACAGCAGATTTCAAGAATGCATTCGTACAGGAGGACGCCATCTCCAGGACGTAATTTTTAAAAAATGAAAATTCCATCATTGTTTCTTAAATGGCATATTTTAAGGTTTCAATTACTATGAATAAAATATTTTTCTTCCATCACTTTTGGTTTTATTGGATTATTAAATGTTCCCGTTTTTTGGGGGGTCACCCTGTATATGAAGGAAAAAGGAGGCTGAAAATTTTAAATTCATTTTTTTTAGACATATGTTTTGTATATATATTCCAAACAATTTCATCCAATTTGTTTTTGTTTTTGTTTCCATCACTTTTGTTATTATATATCCCACATGATAATAAAAGATCTGTCAAGAAAGGTGAAATGTTTTAAAAACCTTGATGCAAATTTACTGTTGATGATTTAGCGAGTAAAGCACTTTTTTTCTTAGTAAATTGCTTTTTCTTTTAATTAGAGTAACTGATGTAATGGAATAACCTGCTACCCCCATGAGTGGCGGCACTATAGGTGGTAACCACCTATAAGTATTCATTGCGACAGCAGACAGCAGAGTCAAGCTGGGATCTTTCCAGTTGCACTAGTCAAACTCTCTGCCTTCAGGCAGAGAAGAACCCGGACGAGGCTATGCCGAAGGGCAGAGTTTCGTCCGGGGAGGTAGACAGACCTGACCCCATTTATGTGGGGTCTACGGGGATTTTTTGGCCGAGCCTTCGGGCTCGGGAACCCCACATTATATTCGACGTTGTGCCAGATGTGACTGTGTGGGGCAGTTACTAATAACCGTCGAGCTGGGATCTGCATGACTAGCAGCCTTCCGATAGCAGCACACACACAACTGTACTGACTTGCAACGACCGTGCATATAACTATTACTTCCTTGATTGTTATACTGGTTTCTACAATAAACCTATTACTATTTATCCACTGTGTTTGTACATTCCATATTCCTGTTAACACAGAATATAACAGTAGCATTTAATAAATCAAAATTATCGTCAGCTTCATTACAGTCAGCAACTAATGCATTTAGCGTGTTGTTTTGTAAAATATCCCATTTGTGTTCATATAATCTTTTATTTAAATTCCTTGAGGTTTCTCCAATGTATTCCTTGTAATAATTATTACAGGTAATAGAGTAAATTTCACCTTCATGTTTTAGCTTTTGTTTCATTTTGTATTAAGTCTTTTATTGTTTTAGAAGTAGTTGTAACAAAATTTACATTAAGTTTATATAAATTCTTTCAGTTGTTGTGATAGTGTTGGGAGGGAAAACATATGTGTCACACAAAAACATTTCCACTTTGTCATAGTTCTTTCCCTAAAATTGTTCTTGATATATAAAAATTTATATAGTGTTTTCCCATACAGCACAATACAGAAGGATAGATTGATTAGTTAAGAGTTTCAAGACTAAAAGTAAATGTCATTGTCTATGCAAGAGTGTCTTGGAGTATCTATATATATATAAGCATATATGTATTAAGACACCTGTATAAATTGTTGAATGAAGTGTGCATATGTATATAATTATGAGAGATTGTGTGGGCCGCATATATGTACAGTATTTTGACTCTGTTTTGAGAATTGATAAAATTAATTCATGTAACCATAACATATTTGAGAAAGATATTAGAATAATCCTTATACTGCATATGGATAGAAAATTATGTCAGTAAATATAGAAAAATAGAAAGAGGTGTAAGGTAAGGACATGTCTTCTCACCTGACTTATCTAACATGTACAGTGAGGAAATCCTGAGAGAATTAGAAGTCGTGACAGGATTCATTATTACCAACTACAATCTTAAGATATGCAAATGACATAGTGTTAGTAGACATAGAAAGGAAACTACAATAATGCCTACAGAAGATAGTAAACATTAATTGCAAGAAGAGAGAATGTATGGTAGTCAGCAAAAGGAACAGCCTAAAATGCAAATTACAAATTGGAGATACCAAAATCAAACAAGTGCAACAACTCAAACATCTGGGAAGTGTTTTAACAGATAATGGAATGTATGACACTGAAGTCTGAAGGCACATTGGAATAGTGAAAGATGCCTTCCAAAAGCTAAGCAAAGTATTAAGAAACAGGAAAATTTCATACGAAACAAAGAAGAGTACTAAACTGTTACACAATATCAGTCCTTCTCAGTAGTAGTGAATGCTGGACAATCTCCTCATAGATGGAGAAGAGACTTGAAACAACAGAAATGTGGTTCTACAGAAGGAAACTGAAAATACGATGGACCAAAAATGTGAGCAACACCAAAGTGTGCAGAGAAAATGAAAACAGAAAGGACACATATTTAACATCAGAGAGCACATAATGAGGAAAGAGGGCTTTCTTTCATTTCATTTCTCTTGCAACTCTCATCCATAAGAAGTAAAAGTAGAGAATATAGCTATATCGTTAAATTTGAATGATTCCTGCTCGTTAGTCTTCTTAGATGAAGCATTGTCAATTATTATTCATTTTTCACTAGTATTTCTTTCATCTTCATTTCTCTTGCTTTTTATTGCAACTCCCATCCATAAGAAGTAGAAGTAGAGAATATAGCTATATGGCTAAATTTGAATGACTCCTGCTGGTTAGCCTTCTTAGATGAAACATTGTCAATTATTATTCATTTTTCACTAGTATTTCTTTCATCTTCATTTCTCTTGCTTTTTATTGCAACTCCCATCCATAAGTAGTAGAAGTAGAGAATATAGCTATATGGCTAAATTTGAATGACTCCAGCTGGTTAGCCATCTTAAATGAAGCATTCTAAATACTGATGACTATTATATCTCTAATTCTATTTCTACTTTTATCACAATTCTCAGTCCTAGGGTGTAATTCTATGATCATTAAATAAGCAGAATTGCTTATTTATTTAATGCTGATCTGGGTGTTGTTATAAAAAGCAAGAGGAATCAGATTAACAAAATATTTTTATGTCTGGAATAGATCGGCCTAGACAGGTATTTAAATTTTGACATTTTCTTTTCAAATGTAACACATTTATTTTCTGCTGTTGTGTGGGAATATGTAACATAGACCTTGTTTAATGTGTATGAAACATATGACAACATAAATATATGAAAAGTCCAAACAAAACGCAAAATTCTTCATATAAAAACACTTGTATATATATATATATATATATATATATATTATATTCAAAATTTTTAATACAAGTTTTTCATATATCTACTTGTAAAAGACTGGGTACCGAAAACAATATAAATTTTGTACTTATCTGTTTGGTTGTTACAAGCCTGAAATTATGTGTCTTGTTTCTGTAACTTCAAGAGCTAAAAAGAGGAAGATTGACTTATCCACCTAAAGGTGTCATGTGCAGGTCTTGTCACATTACGTGACTGTTCCATTCTCATGAATATTTATAATTAATTTTTAATGCTTCTTTTTTTTGTTAATGGGGGATAACTTTACATCTCTCAGTATAGCTAGAAACAAAAAATTACTATATATAAATAATGTTTCTGTTGATAAATTTTTATTTTTGAATTAACTGTGTTTGTATAGAGAGAATTTATATCTTCTTTATCAAAATTTAGTCATGAATTAGAAAACCTACAGCATTCATAATAAGCACTGTTGTCATCTGCTATTTCTTATTACTACAAATTAGATGAATGGAACAGAAAAAAATGAAAGGAATTGTCTAAATAAGTCAAAATAATTTGTTTAATTAGATTTTCTGAAAACAGTACCAAATTATTTAAACAATCAAAAAATAATAAGTTTGCAGAATTAGGTTTTATTATTATTATTAATATAAACATTAGAAAATGATTCAAATGTTTCTCTCATGGTCATCTCTATGTAGCTATGTCCAGAATAGGAAAATCAAATGGATTTAGTATAATGGTAAAAAGAACTTTAGAAAATAGATGTCTTGATGAAAATGTTGCTCATATAGAAATTTTATCATTGTTATTATTAATATAAACATTAGAAAATGATTCAAATGTTTCTCTCATGGTCATCTCTATGTAGCTATGTCCAGAATAGGAAAATCAAATGGATTTAGTATAATGTTAAAAAGAACTTTAGAAAATAGATGTTTTGATGAAAATGTTGTTCATATAGAAATTTTATCATTGTTATTATTAATATAAACATTAGAAAATGATTCAAATGTTTCTCTCATGGTCATCGCTATGTAGCTATGTCCAGAATAGGAAATTCAAGTGGACTTAGTATAATGTTAAAAAGAATTTTAGAAAATAGATGTCTTGATGAATATGTTGTTCAAACAAAAATTTTGCCATTGCTATTATTAATATAAACATTAGAAAATGATTCAAAATTTGAATTTCAAATGTTTCTCGCATGGTCAGCTCTATGTAGTTATGTTAAGAATAGGAAATTCAAGTGGACTTACTATAATGAAAACAATTTTGATTTTTAACAATTTTTAAGTACCAGGCAAATGCAAAATTTGGCTATTATTTAAAAATAGTCCAAAACTGTTTTCAGTCTTATGCCTTTGATAAAGTTTGCTACCTTTTCGGAGAACAGAAATAAACTAAAATGTTCTTTCTTTGACCTGGCTTTGTACTTGAAATGAAACAAATTACTCTAGCAGACGATATTTTTATCCACAGGCAGGGAGAAAAGTAATTTTGAGGGTAAGGGTAGCGCTCAGACAATACAAGGGAAGTAACTGTTGTGGTTGTTCTTTTCAAAAGGAGGTAGAAAAATTTATGCGTCTAAACATGGCCGGCTGTGTGCTAGAAATCATGTGAAACGTTTGATAGAAGTTAAACTTCGACATTAAATTCCACTTCTAAACTCAACACTGTGGTTCCATATTTACACATAAATACTTGAAAATGACGGCGATTGAACTGAAAGACCAAGGAAACCGGCTTTTTGCCATGAAAAAGTTCGATGCAGCTATAAATTGTTATACAAAGGCAATTGTAAGTCGAAATGGAAGAAAAATGTGAAACACACATTAGACGTATTTTTTTTTATACACATATTTTTCTCTTTATTTTTATAACTTAAGTTGTGACATAAATTCATTATGTTCTCGTATTGCGAATCCATATTTTGGTTGTATTTAATAGCTTTTATTTGGGGTAAGGGTAGTCGTAGAAAATGCCAGTTGTATAAAACTTTAAAAAAATGGTCAGAATTTATTGCTGTTTAGACTGTGTTGTCATTATTTTATCGAGTTTTTAAAGTGTTTACAATATGAGTTACTACATAACAATGACTTTTAGTTTGTTACTTTCGTATTTAAATCAGTACAAATCTTGAAAATTGTTTTAAAACTTAATTTACCGCTATTTTTCTTCATGGGCTGAATTGAAAACTGTTTGCCAGGAAATAATTTTAATTTGTCAAATCAATACAATCACAATAGAAACTAATTTAAATGTTGTATTTTATTTTTTAAATATTTTTGCGATTTTATTTTCTGTCTAGAAAACGTAAAACTAACAATTCCCGAGCGCAATTTTCAGGTCTTTTTTTTTCCCTTTTAGTTTTAAGAAAAACAATGTTTGTTTACATTTCAGTACAGTACACTCATGGAACGAATAAGCTGTTCGTCGTACACGAAAAAACTTTTTCACACTTAACTACTCAGACGTACTAAAAATGTTTTACAAATAGTAGTTTAATGCAGAGAAAGCGACTAGAAGAAAATATCGTTGGAAAATGAATATAAAATTATTCAGAAGTTGATGTATCTTCTCTACCCTTTAAAAACGAACCTTATCAAGTTCTGTTAGTAAAGTTCATATTTTATTTTTTTTACACTACAGTTACACCGAAAAATTTGGAGAAAATATCCTTTTTTTGTTTGACTCTTACCAGCTCCAAATCTGATATAAACGTTAAAACTTAAAAAACACAAGCAACCATAAACTGGATCAAACTTTTTTCTTTCTTTATTTCTACCCACCTTTTTCTTAACTACTGAACTGAAACAAAATTTGTCTTTATTTTTAAAAGGCAGTTTGTTTAAAAAACAAAATTGATGCCTTTTTGTTTCAGGCAGTTAACTGAAGAAAATATAAATAAGTTTAAATTTTAAAATGCATGTCAATAACACCAATATCATTTAAACTTTTTTTTAATACCCTAGTTTTGATAATTTTTAGTTTTTAGTTTTTTTAAGCTAAGCAGATTTTTTTTTAAATAGAAAAGTGAACATTTCAAGTCGTAGAGAATTTTTTTTGTTCTTTTTCAATCATAAATTATGTCATTTTTGATTTAATGATTAATCTAAAATTCACTTGTGTGCAAAAAAAAAAAAAATACTTTTAGTTTTATTTTATTTTTTTTACAAACATGTTATGTCAGTTCTACTTAGGAACAAGTTTTAAACAAGTAAAAAATTTACTGTAGTAAAATAAATCTCACCAGTCTATTCTTTTATTACATACGATCACCGAAGTTAAGCCACGTCAAGCCTGGTCAGATGGGTGACCGCTTGGGAATACCATGTGCTGTAAGCTTGGATGTGTGGGTGGTGTAACGGATAATGGCTCGGAATTATTAAATCGGTGAGCAGAGTTCCAATTCCAGTTGGGTTTGTTATATTTACTCGACATGCGCAAATACATTTGGGAAAAGTATGAATCCAATTCTTCTCCCTCGGCTATGAACTTTTGTAACTACTAAATCATTATCTTCAAAAGAATCTTACAATCTAAAAATCTTCTCTGGCTTTAAATAAGCTGAAAAAGGTTAAGGAAGCTGTAGAAAACGGATCAATATTGTATTTACATCTTTAATCCCTTACTTTTTTAGGGAGTCTATATTTGCTCTTTGGAGCAGCTAGAAGTAACCTTGCTACTTGATAGTATTTGCCATTATCTGTATTCACTTTTCTAAAAGGTTTCCTGCCAGATTTCAATGTATCTAACAAGCTCTGCCCAACTTTCTGGAAAACTTGAAATAAAGTTAATTTTCAAGGTATTTTTATTTTACAAAATATATCTAGACTTCAAGATGCTATAAATAATTTAACAATATTATTAAGTGTAGTCACTAAGCAAAACAAAAAAAAAAACACAAAGCATGATCCATTATGGTACTTGCACCATTCTTTCAATGGAATAGTAATTTATAAAAGTGAAGTAGAATTAATTTAAATGACATAATACCAAGCTAAACCAATTACCTTACACCAATGGTTGTAGGAGACAGATTTTTAGACACTGTAAGCTCTGTATAAATTGACAAAAATGATTAAATATAATTTGAATTGTGGAAATGATAAAGTGTCCCCTCAAAATGTTAAATTAGGAAAAAAACAAAAAATTCCTATTGCTTCAAAATAATGCCTTTCAGCTTTGTTTTGAAGAAAACAAACAACAAAACTTAAAATTAGAACCTGTAAAAAAAAAAATTATAGTAGTCTATTAGTTAATATTTATAATTTATAAAGTTTATATGTAAATATAAGTGTTGGTGCAGATGTTAACCCCTGAGTAGTGACAGTCTGTTTCATGCTTGAAATTCATCCTTTAGGTTGAGTAATTAGTGCACTTTCTATAGATTTTTACCTTAGTCAATTGCTTTCTCTTTTAATTAAAGTAGCTTTATTTAAATCAAAATTATGGTCAACCTGATGTTCTATTTGTGAAAGATATCTTTTGTGTTCATAGAAACTTTTATTTAAATTCCTTGAGGTCTCTCCTATGTAATACTTGTGGTAGTCATTACAGGTCATAGAGTTAATTCCTATTTTAGGTTTGTTTTGCATTGTTTTTTTTTTTGTTTTTTTTTATTTCTCATTCTTTTATTTTCAAAAAGGAAGTCCTAGAAGGTGAAACAAGTTACACAGAATTTTTCCATTTTGTCATTCAATTGCCTTACATTGTTCTTAATGCTGGTTCAAATCCTGCCGAAGGGTGCATATTTTTTCTCTAATAAGATTCCTCAAATATTCAGGCTAGTAGAAGAAAAAAAATATACTGATTAATAAATAAATAAATGGAGTGTCTACTCAAATATGAGTATCAACCAAAAATGTAATAAAATCTGTCAGATAATCTCTTCCTTTAGAAATGTATACATCATATTCTCACATACATATAATTAATTAACTATTTACATTGCTCGGACTATCATCCTCATTGTTGCCATATTTATCACAATGTTTCAGCCGTTGTACACTCTGGCCTTCTTCAGGTGGTTGGAATGTTGAACTGAACCCTTTATTTCGCTTACTGGGGTAGACTGTCCTAGTTCCACGTGCCATGTCTAATGGATGTCAGTTATCAGTTATCTCGTGTTAATTCCCCTCTCCAAGTTCTCCACTGCCTTAACCAGGTATTAGACCTTCACTCTTTGGGTCCTGTCACTGGATCTAACCAATGCCTTTATCCACTGTGCCATGTGTCTCAAGAACACATGGCACAGTGGATTTAGAATGGTCTATCCTTGCAAGTGAAATAAAGGGTTCAGTTCGACACCTGAAGAAGGCCAGAGTGATAAATATGGCAACAAAGGTGAGGATGATAGTCTGAGCAATGTAAATAGTGTACATAATACCTCATCTCAGAAATATAGACAGATTAATTAACTAGTAAATAAAATTTTCATACATTTAATAAATTGTTCCTATGGTGTGTAACTTGTATGTATGTATGTGTGTGTGTGTTTATATATATATATATATACACATATATATATATATATATATATATATATATATATATATATATGGTGAGGCAAAAAGTTATTCACCATAGGGATAATATATTAAATGTGTAACTAAATATGAAAATTTCATTTAATTCTTATATGTGCTGTTCAAAATCTCCAACAGTTGACTTATCAATAGGAAGTCAGTGTGGATTCTGTCTCTTGTATCCCCCTTCAACAAATCTGTGTGTCTCACCCACTTTCCTATACATGAGCACTAAGGTGACTTGTTGAACCTTTGTTAGTTTTTCAGTCATCTTACTTCGTCAAAATTGTTTCTGCAAAATAAGAAAATATCAAAATGAATTAGATATTTAAAACAGGATTAATTAATTAACCCTTATGTATGGTGTAGTAATGGATAGTGGCTTGGATTGAGGAATTGGAGAGCTGAGTTCAAATTCCACTCAAATCTGTTACATTCTTTTATGTGCTAATACCCTTTGGAAAGGTATGAATCATCTTCTCCTCCTCCAGCTATGGGTAAATAGCAGGACAGACCAGGTTCTATAGCCTTGGATGGCAACTGGTCTACTGTAGAAAGAAATGGCAGCCAACTGCGAGAAAAAATTTGCTACGCATGCATAACTCTGTGTGTATATATATATATATATATATATATATAAAAACAGACCACTTTAAGGTTCCATGTAATAAATTATTTCACCACAGCCCTTTTAAAGGACTATGGATCATCAGACTTTACTTTCAAAGGTTATGTTTGTAGGCACAGCAGATACAGTGCTCAATGTAATGTTTATAAAAATATATACAAAAACAGATCAAACATAAAATATATGTAAAACAGAGCTTAGATGTCAATGCTGTCCATGACTAGAAGCTTTATGTGGGACGCAAAGGTGGTAATGTTACTGTTACACAATCCACAGGCGGTAAAAAGTAATATAATACTCCTAAAAGAATAGTCTTCCTGCAGCTTACATTATTTAATAAATTATAGTTGTTTTTTTTTGTTTTTTCTTTTTAAAGATATCAACAATAAAACATTTGCTCATCATAATAGCAAATAATGTGAAGTAATTAATCATGAAAATATTTACAAATTTTGGTATGGAAAGTATATGCAAAAATACAACAATTGTGGTTAGAAGTATGTTATCAGTTTACATTTTTTTTTCTAAATTCTTTTGTTTTTAATGATTAATAACTAAATACAAAGGGGTGCTGAAAAGTTATCAGCTCAATCAACTTACTAAAATCGACATGTTGGAAAGTTAATTTCATTAAAAAATATTTCTGAACCACTGCCTTGTGGAACTAACTCAAACGAAGATGCTCCACTGATCACAACAATCTCAACCTGTTCAAGTCTAATGTTAATTGTTATCTTCTAAACAAATCTGCATAAACTGTCCCTCTTAGTCTGTAATCCTTTATCTTGAGCGGCCTTTCAGCCTTGTACAGGGTGAACATCATAGTAAAAATAAAAAAAAAAATTGTCTACTATTTCTTCATCTTCATTGATTCATCATCTTTTAAAACTACAGATGAAATCACTGTATTCTTCTATTTGCTGTTTCTCGTCAGCACGTGGACCATCATGGCTCTCCACAACTTCCTATCTTTTGTAGCTCTTAGTTTTATCTTTTTACCATCTCTTTCACTCTGTTCTGCAACTTATGGCCACATCATGTTGAAACATGGGTTCCTATATGATCACCAAAGTTAAGCAGCATCAAGCCTGATTAGTACCTAGATGGGTGACCACTTCAGAATACCAGGTGTTGTAAGCTTGGATGTGTGGGTGGTGTAATGGATAAGATCTCAAAATTCGTTGGTTTTGTTAAATTCACTTATGCACAAATACCCTTGGTAAAGGAATGAATCCACCTCTTCTCATCACATCTGTGGGTTAATTAGTAAGACTTGTATCACTAAACCATTGTTATTTCCAAAAAAAATAAATTCTTACAAGCTAAAAGTATTTTTTGGCTTTAAATAATCTGAATAAAGTTGATAAAACAAATTAGTCTGTCCCTGTTCTGCAATCCATTTACATGAGCTTGTTAGGTAAGTTACTTGCTGTTTCCCTCCATCTCCTTTTGTCTTCAATATGTCCTGAGAATTTCACATTCTCCAAGCCCTCTTTCCTCATGTGCCGCAGGAATTTCAACTTTCTCTTTCTGATTCTAAATGTCCTGTTTTGCATTTTCCTGAAAATTTAGTGTTTGTTTTATAATGGAAAATATATAAGGTTTAAAGGGCTTTAAAATACGATCCTGTTGATTCTCTGACATTTTAAAAACATTAACATTGTTATGACATAGTTTACATGATTCTAAAATGAAAATGACAAAGTTTAAACATCTTGATGGAAGACAAAAAATAGAAATGACCTTTCCGGAACTCTTCAAAACATATTCTTCATAAACACCTTATAATATCTGGAAATATTTTAACTCGATGCTTCAGGCAATTTTTATTCTCACTGCAACCAGAAATAATATTTTTGTAAGGAAACAAAAGTTAATGTGAGACTTGGTAAAAAACTCTCCTTTGTCTTATAATCGGGTGTATCAAAAATACTTGCACAAATTTTGGGGATGGATTCCTCACACCACAACAAGGACAAAAGTCCATATAAATATGTCTGCAAATCCTTAGTATTTCAGTTATTAAGCTTACAGTCGACGCTGTTAAATGTACAATCCAACAGAGAATCCAACAATACTTTTACAAACTTTGTGGGTGGGTTCCTGACACCAAAACAAATGTTCATATAAGCAGATGTTCAAAAAGCCATCATTGTACCTCAACACAGCAACTTCCAACAAATGTTCAAAATGTCCTCTGCTTGCTTCTACACACGCATACACCTGTCAGATCATTGACTAGCAGACCCTTTCAAATACCTACTTGATGTCAAATGCTTTTGCAGGCCCTCATGACATTGATGAAGCATGTCTGCTGCATAAACCAATAGTTTTAGGAGGCCTCACAGATAAAAATCCAACGGATTGAAGTTGTTGTTGGTGGTGGTTAATGTGTAGAGACCCTGGAACCGGCCCTCTCCTATCTAGCCATCTTTTGTCCTTGTTTTGGTGTGAGGAACCCACCCACAAAGTTTGTAAAAGTATTTGGAATACACCATATATATATATATATAAAACATCTTCATTTAAACATGTTTCATTGAATAATATAGACATATTGTGTTTACTTATTTTTATACTCCTCCTCTTCAGTTGTCTAATCAGTTTCTTGATAAGATGAAATTTATCAGGGAATATGCCGTAGTTTTTTTTGTTTTTTTTTTTTAACCCAAGTACTTTCAATCTTTTTCTAAGATCATCTTCAGGGATAAATTACAAAGACAAACTGTATTGTAACTATGATAAAATCTTCATTTTGTAATGATAGCTTCTGTCATAGTTGATTTAGAATTTTAAATTTATCCATTGTTGTTATAGGATTTTTTAGCAAAAGAAGCACTTCAATATAAGGGAGTACTGGAAATTGGTAGAAATGTAAAATGTCTTATGTATTTTAAGATGTTGTTGCTATATTCATAATAAATTTTGACTGTTGAATTTCATCTTAACATCAAGAAACTGATTAGATATCTGGAAAGGTTCATTATAAAAAATAAGTAGACACAATGTGTCTGTATTATTAAATGAAAGACACATTTGAGATAATATATATATATATATATATATATATATATATGATAGAATGTTTGTGTTTGGGTAGCAGTCCTTCTCTAATACATTTTTCATTAGAAATGACTGAAAAAGTACTTCTGTTAAGCATTTTCTATTGTATTTTCTTGTATGCTGATCCTACATCTTTCAGACCAGAGCTCCATTAAAACCAGTGTGAAAATGTACCAACCTTGATGTGCAACATGCTTGTTGAGAACACAAATGTGATGCATGTCTCCATCTGCAAAAAGCACCTAAAAGTAATTGAAGCCTTTATTATAAAGCAAAAGAAAAAAAAAAGAGCATTAACTATGAACATGGCCATAATGTACTTGGCCCATGTTCGCCAGATATTTTTTTCTTTTTTTTTTTTTATTGAGGAATTAAAAAATATCTACATTTCAGCAACTATCACACCATTTACAATAGTACAACCAAAACTCTTGATAATGACTATTAGACTTACCAATTTAGTGTTCATTAAAACTGTTCGTTTTTTTTTTTTATGAAAAACTTGAAGTTTATTTAAAAATATTGAAAAAAAAAAAAAATAGTTGTAATGATCTCATTTATTTAAGACAATAGAATTACTCTTTCAGTTTAAATTATTTTTCTGGGTTATTATCTCCCCTTGACCATTAATAAAAGGTATTGTAATATTGAAAACGTGGGTATTTTTTGCTTTCTACTGAAACTATTCTGTTCTAAAGATACAAACTAAATGAAATTCTCTTTGAACTGAACTATAGGCTCCAAATGAGATAACTTTAAATTCTCAATGTTTATTTTAGGCTTCTTAATAACCAGTAGCCATCAAAAGATTTTTTAAAAATAGGTATTTGGCAGCGTTCATTTAGTTTAATTTTAGGGACTTCTACAAAAAACGCAAGACCTAAGGTTTAAAATGAATTTTTTAAAAGTGAAAAATCTTTTTTGAAGCTTCTATTTTAGCTTTAATTTCAAGCTAATAGATTAAATTTAATATTTCCAATAATCAAAATACTTAGCTGTGTTTCAAAATTTAATTTAAATTAACTGGAAGGAGATTTTTTTTTTTTTTGTCTTTCATTGCAATGTAATTCTCTTTACTAAAAAACTCTTCCAAATATAAAATATACTTTCTGAAATTTTATTTGAGGAATATTAGCTGATTTAAACTAATTAATCTGATTTGAAATGAATATTATTTTTTTAAAATATTGCAGGAATGCATTTTTTTTAACTCTGCAGTAGTCATGTTTAATGTGTTCGATAGCATGATGACAGATCTAGTGTTGTTCTACAGTGACTTCATCTGTAAAATATAATTGAAAAAAATGATGTGTCAGTTAAAATTTATAAAATCTTTTACTTAAAACACTTTTTCAGCAAAATAGATTTCTAAAATCCAGTAGCTCTTATCACTCTTTCAAATATTGATGGGATGCGGGGGTTTTCTTCTTAATCTTTCGTTTGAAGTAGTATGGAATGTTAACATCTTTACTGTCATTACTTTCTCTTTGAATTACATTTTAGTTGTTGCTGTTGTCTCCTCTAGTAATGTAGTTTCAGTTATTTAGTACAGTTCTTTGTGATTCTTAGTATCAGTCCACAATTTCCAAAGAGGGATAATAATCTTCACTATAGGCTTACAGGTTTCGCTCACTCAAGGCTGTTTTTAACTATTAATTGTAGAAAGCTAACAGTTTAAATTTTTCCGAACAAGTTTTCTGCCATGTGCAGTATTCATATGAAAATCTCAATCTATACAAAAGTGCAACAATTCAAATATATACTTAGTACTTTTTAAATTAAATTTTATTAGTGCTTGAATAATTAAAGATTAAAGTAGTTAAACATTTTTCCCACTATTTCTTTTTTTTTTCTCCTTCCCCAATAGGAGCAGATAGGTTTGTCTATCATTTGGTTCACACTCCTCTCTAGCTTTTTGAACAGGAGAAGTGTTTATTCCTTGTTTCCTGTTTAGGATTGGGTTTCCAGTTCCTTTTAAGGTCTACTTCCGCAAAGACTAATGTCTCCAACTGAACTCTGAAATGTTATTCACTAATAAGGTTTAAAGTGCTTTAAAATATGATCCTGTTGATTCTGACATTTTAAAAAACATTAACATTGACCTCTACAAGGATATAGTTAGTCATTATCTTTCCTGCATAGACCCCAAGAATGTTACTTCTCGCCTTTTCTCATGCTCATACAACTCCACACAATAACCCTCTACCTTGGATGGCTCTTGGGCCTTGGGTAAACTTTAGTAAAAAAAAAAAATAGTATTTATTTACTTATTCATTGGCAACTGCATATAGTAATTTGATGTAGATGTTCTTTTTTTTTTCTCTCCTAAAACTATTGAACCATTCATTAAATAAATGGTTATACTGTTATCTATAAGTAAATATTTGATTTTGTTACCAGTAGAAACGTTATCAAATGTTTATTATTGACCATGTAACATTAATACCACTGGAAGAAAGGAAGGAAAAAGAAAAAAAATAGCAAGGGAGACAAATCTTCCTTGCAACTGCTTTGCCTATTGATGTTCAAGGTGTATATAAAAAAAATATTTAACAGAATCGGGTCAAATGATATTACGCAATATTTTAAAATATTTTTAGAAAAAATAGGTATTAGAATATACTTTAGGACAGTTCTTTGTTTGTGATTCTGTAGCACCAATCCAAAGGGTTCAAAAAAGGATGGTCTTCATTATGACCCACAGGCTTCACTTGAAGCCTTTTTTAATCATTGATCTTAGAAAGCACTTGTATACAGCTGACAATTTAGATATTTCTGAACAGGCTTGGCCCCATTCATGACATCTATATGAAATTTGCGATCCAACAAGACTATTTAAAAAATATTACTCAAGTTTTCAGGTTAATGTTTTGTAGCAATTTGCTTTGTTGGGTAAAACTACCGCTGGTGCATCAAATACTATATTCAGTTTCCTTTTTTCCTATACTAAATTTGTTATAATTGATATATATGTTGAGGTATTGGAATTGTTTAATATTTGTTAATTCCACACCCTGAATTTTTACGATGGATTTAGGGTATGTGCCATCACTGCTTTCGTTCTAATTCCAGATCCAAATTTCTGTTTTGGAAAGGTTTACCTTGAGTTTTATTTCTTGGAACACTTTGTAGAGTGTTCAGTTTTCTGTTCACCATCATTCTCATCCCAATTATGAATATCTATGTCATCAGCATAGCCCCCACCCACTTCATCAATACATTGGACTTGAGAGGGAAAGCAAGATTAGTATCTTTTATTGGTAGATTTGTTTGGAATGTTGTATGGAACGCTTAAATGATCAGTGCCTATGTCTTCACATCTGTATTTGAAGTCGAGTCTTTTTAACCATGATCTCAGTCATTTTTGAGGTTCAAGTTTATGTAGACGTATAGGCTTGTATTATGCTTGTAAATGTCTACATTGTCTGTCCTACTTTATGGTGACATCACAGCAAGAGTTTTTTTTTTTTTTTTTTTTTTTTTTTTTGTTAAATGTCAACATTTGTTAAATATATTTTATAACTGCAGTTTCAGCATTGAAGATTTACTTTAGGTTTGTACTTATTTGATTAGGGCTTTGGGTACTTTGATATAATGTAATGGTTAGCAAGGTTGTCTCATTAGATTAAGTACTACTGAGTAGTGAGTTTGATCCTCACTAGGTGATCCATACTTACACTTTTGTGCCACATCTATGCTACACTTACTTCCTTTGATTAGGGCTTCTAATATTTGAAGTTTTGTTATTTGTTCTTCTCTTTTACCCCTCCTTTACTTCCTTCTCTCCCTTCCCCCTCATTTCCCCCTCTTCTCCCATTTCCCATTTTTCCTGTCCCTACTGTTGCCTTTACTTTTTTCTGTATTTTTTTTCTTAGGACTCAATATTTAAATTCTTCAGGGCTTCAAACTTGTTCTTTTATTCTAGTTACCTGCACAAAATCGCTAAAAAAAAAATCAGCATACTTCAAACGTAATGAAAATAGTTTTATCGTCAGAATCTTTGTTATTATTAAGAGGAAAGATCAAGATATTCTTTTTAATATTTAATTAAATTTTTTTATTTATTTTTTTTTTTTTTTTTAGAACATGCAAAATTTTGATTAAAAAACTTGATTTTCTTTTAGCCTCTTTTTTGTGGGGACACATTAATTTGGAAATTCTTGCAAAAATCAAATAATTGTGGTATTTTAATGAAACTTTCAGGACTTATTCACAAATGAATTAATTTTTTTTTAATGTCTTTTTATTAGAAAATCATGGTAAAAAATTTTTTTTTTTTTTTTTTTTTTTTTTTTTTTCACCTCCTTAGTGAATTTTATGAAAACTTGAGCATTTCAACATAATAATTTTTAGTGACTATATTAAAGTAGAATTGTTTGAAGAATTTAAATCATCTAATTTTTTTTGCAAAATTAAACTGTGTCTTAACAAAAATTTATTCTGAATTGAAAAATAAAAAAATGCAATAAAACTAAGACATTATTCAATTAGAAGAGTTTTTAATTGCTTTTATGAATAATATATATTAAAGACAATATTGTCAGAAGAAGAAAAATCTTTTGGTGAAAAATGAATTTTTACAAATTCTTCATTTTTTACAATTTTAAATTGAATAATATATGAAGTTTTTAAATCTTTTAAAATTCAATGTGATAACTTAGGAAATATTAAGTAAAAACTATATTTACTAATTGTATATTGTAAAGCTTATTACAATCTGATGACCCCCCCTCCCCACAAATATTTTTAAAAGAATTTTGATTTGTTTTTGTACGTCTATGTGCATAATTTCTGAAATATATTAAAAGGTGACATGTTTTAAGGATCCCTCCATATACTTTATCATCTCCTCTACAATACTTAACTATGAACACATTTGTTAGTCAATTGACTCTCCCCTATGGCTAAGAAATGCTTGTATACAAAATTTTATGCTATAAGTAATATTTGTTTCAAGTCAAGTTAATTTAACTTTAAATTTGCTAATTTTCCTCAAATAACGTTTCATAAATATATATATTCTATTTTTGCAGAATTCTTAAAACTGAGAATTAACTTTTGTTTCTAAATGTGTCTAAATGGCTTATATTTTTTTCTTTTATTGATTTTACTGGAAAAAAAAACCCCAAAAAACAAAACAATTCCATTTAATATAATTCCTGTTTGAAATAGACCACAGAGTGTTTTGTTTACTGCAAATAGTAAATTTTAAATCCTTTCAATTAAAGCTAAAATGAAAGCTTTTTACATTTTTAAAAATTCATTTTAAACCTTGTGTATACTGAGTTAGTTGAGGTACCTACTTTATATATATATATATACGTAAAACATTAGGCAGCATATGATTTACATACAAAGAAATAATCACACATAGAATCAATCAGAAGTATTAATGCGATTATTGGCGACATCCATCGCTAGAAAACATAATATATGCATTAAAATCCTGTTCATCCATAGTGCGAGTTTGATCCTCGTCGATAAACTTGTTGTCTGTAATTTTCAGTTTATTTGATGTTAATGCTAGTACTTACGAATAGTCTTCTATTCATCATCAGGCATGTGTTTTTTTCCTTATGAAACTGAATACACTTGTAAAAATAGAATACGTGGATTTAACACATCACAAGAAATATTTTAAATAAAATTCTCACTTAAAATTTTGAAAAACTTAGCGTTGCGTCATTGCACGTTCCGAGATCTTACACAACCGTCAATAATAGCAGATATTCAAAAAACATCTTTCGGTCGACATACAGGTATATCGTCTCAAGTTTTTGATTTTATAAGGAAAAAAAAACACATGCCTGATGATGAATAGAAGACTATTCATGAAATACTAGCATTTTAACATCAAATAAACTGAAAACTACAGACAACAAGTTTATCGACAAGGATCAAACTCGCTTTTATGGATGAACAGGATTTTAATGCATATATTATGTTTTCTAGTGATGGATGTCGTCAATAATCGCATTAATACTTCTGATTGATTCTGTAAATATGATATATTTTTATATATATATATATATATATATATATATATATATATATTTTTCTTAAATATTATGAAATGTTGAGACTGAAAAATAAATTCAGTGCTAGAAATCTGAGTATAACAAACAAAAGCAATCAATAGTTTTGAAAATAATTTGTTCGGTTTGCAAATAATCCATCACCTATCTTTTTTTTTTTTTTTTTTTTAAAGACTTTACACAATTGAAAAAAATTTAATTTTTTTAAAATTATTTTCCTATAAGAAAATGTTAGAAATTCTTGCATGCAACATTTTACATAAAAATATTTTTGCAAATTTTCTGATTTATTGAACTAATTGTTTCTTGGAAACATCCACTCAGAACTTTTATGAAAATGCTTCAAGCATCCCGGGATTAACTGAAAAAAAAATTATTTACTTATATGAATGATTTGTCATAGTTTGTGCTAATATTTGATTAATTAAACTATGCAGCTTTTGAAACTTGTGATAATATAACTCTTTTTTTATAACTTGAAGATTTCATTTCTTTTTTTCACATCACCCATCTATGAATAAAAATACTTATTAATTTGTTTTTTGGCCTTGGATAAGCGTTCTTCTGTAAAGCTTAACTAAGTATGTATTAATTTGTTCAGCACTTCTAATTTGTTAACTATAAGCATCCTTTTTTAAAACCAATTAAAATATTTTTTTAGATAATAAACAACTTACTTTTAAAATCTATAGTTTTTCATTTTGCTGTATAGTGCCCAATATCAAATGTCTTTTTTATTTTTATTTTCAAAGATTAAAAGTCCAAATACTCCAACATTCTTCACAAACCGTGCATTGTGCCACTTGAAACTGAAGCAATGGGAACAAGCCATCCAGGACTGTCGGCAGGCTCTAGACATGGATAGAAGTCTGGTGAAAGGCCATTTTTTCATGGGGCAGGCACTTGTAGAATTGGGTTATTATGATGAATCTATTGCCAGTTTAAAGAGAGGTTGGTATTTTGCTGCTTTCAGTTCTTTAGAATTACTTGACGCTTATATAATTGATTTATGATGATAGGATTTTTTTTTTTTTTTTTTTTTTTTTTTTTCAAATATTTCAAGGAATTGTTTTCAAAATTTTATTTTAATTTATTTCTACATGCAACTAGTGCTTAATTACTTCATCTAATCTGTAACAGGAAACAACGTGATTTTATATCTTTATCAATCATGCAGCTTATTCTAAATGCATTCTCTCTCACTGTCCTTTCTATTTTGCTTTCCTTTACTTCAGTTATATTATTAAAAAAAAAAGAAGTTGTGACTGAGTAAATCGTGCTGGGTCTTTTATTCTACTTCTCGGGTTTTTTTCTTTTTTTCAATAACTGAGCTCACGGTCAAATTGTTATGAAAACAGGTTCTCATTTGATCACCAGAGTTACACAGTATTGAGCCTGGTCAGTACTTTTTTTTATGTCAATGAACACTCGTTGCTACTTTTGTAATGTCAATCAATACTCATTGTCATTTTTGTAATGCTCGTTGTAGTAGAGACTTTGTAATCACAGATAAAACTATAGTAACACTGTTGGAGTCAGACGCCTTCGAATAACACTCAGACTAATAGTACTTCATTGATAATACTCACTCGAATAGTAACGACCAAATAGTGATCTGAATAGTCATCTGTATACTGATCACTTAGACGCCACACAAGTTCCCATATATACATTTCCTTTACCATCACGTGATCTACTTATTCAAAATGGGATCACCTGTGTTTGCTCTCTGGTGATCTGTGTTCAAACTCCAGTGTTGGCAGCAACACCTTATTCTTATATAACACCTCCCCTTTGAGATGACTTCCCCTGGAGTCTATATATTTCTTCAGCTTCAGTTCAGTAGTTAGAAATTCTGTTGGTATTCTTTTTCTTTTGCCATAAACCTTTGGTTCAACAATTTCTGATGGCATGAGTATGTTAAACATGTCAAAGAGTTTCCATTGGTACCTCTTTTCAGGAACTTTTTAAATCAGTGAATCTATGTTTTAACTGATTAAGGTGTCACTTATGTTCTCACCTTTGTCCCTGTACCATGTATGTCATTTTGCCACTCCATTTTTTTATAACATCATCTTCCCAGAATTCCTTTCAGTGCTGATACATCTTAAAAAATACCTTATCTCCAGGTTTGAAGTATCTACTTTTATTATTTCTTGATGTTCTTGCATTGCATTCTGAAAACGGACTTAATCTTCCTGGCAAACATCAACTTTGCAAGTGACATTCCAGATGGTGCTTGGGTTTGGTGTTATTCTGTAAACAATCTGAAATTGCTGAATCATTACTTCATCTGACTCCTCTCTCTTCGACTTTTTTAGTGCTCTTTTAAACATATTAACAAACTCTTCCGCTTGTCCGTTTGATCTTGGGTGATGAGGGGGGAGTTCTAATATATTCTATTGCTAATGATTTGCAAAAAAACTAAATTCACTAGACATGAATTGAGTCCCGTTACCTGAAATGATAGTCAGGAACACCAAATCTTGCAAAAGTCTTGTGTAGGAAATTTATCATTACTGCAGTAGTTGGTCTTCTACATTTTAATATTTCTGGCCATTTAGTGTAACTATAGACTACCACTAGATAGTATGCTCCATTTAATGGTCCTACAAAGTCTATATGTATTCTGGACCATGGCGTATTGGTTTTCAGTCAAGGTTGAATTTTGACAGGCGGTGGCTTCATTGCCAGAGCACAACCTCTGTATGATTTCACTAAATTTTCGATATCTTTATCCATTTTTGGCCAGTAAGTATAATACCTCATTAAGGATTTCATTTTAGAAATTCCTGGATGTCCTCTGTGAAATTCTTTTAACATATGTCTTTGCAACAATGCTGGTATCACCACTCTCTCTGCATACATAAGTACATCATTACATAATGAAAATGCATTATTTCCAATAATGTTTTTTTTTCCTTTAGATCTTAATTTCTCCTTCGTTTTCATTATAAAGTTATTTTTTTCTGCCTTAGTTTTTATTTCCTCCAATGTTATGGGCAGTTCTCTTACAGTTTTGTGTAAAATGTTATTAATTTCATTTTCAGCCCTTATCATTGCAAGTGGTTCGCAGAATCTTGGTATTAATCTAGACAATCCATCTGCATGACTTCATTTTTTGGTTGGTAGAAATTCCATTTTGTAATTAAATAGGATATTTCCTTAGTGCTGCAGTCTATTTGCTGTATGTGTGGGAATACCTTTTTTTATTTTTTTTATCCATATATGGACAATAATGGACGATGGTATGTCTGTAGTATGAATTCTCTACCATGTATAAATTATTGAAACTTTTTCATGGCAAATATGATGGCCAATGCTTTTTTTTTTTTTTTTTTTCTATCTGGTTGTAGATTCTTTCAGCTGAAGTATGAGCTGTTGGTTTAGTTGTTCTGTTCTTATATTTGTGGAGTATCACTGCTCCAATACCCAAATCACTTGCATGTGGCGCAACCACAATCTTTAATTTAAGGCCAAAATGAGCTAGTGACAAATCTGATGTTAAGACTTCTGTGGCAGGTATTAGATTTTTTTTTTTTTTTTTTTTTTTTTTTTGGCACTGTTAGTCACCCCCACCTTCGTATTTTATTTATTGTGTGTCCATTTTTGTTGGTTTGGAGGTTAAGAATGAAATTTTCTTTTCTTTTCTTCTGATGGGCACATCTATTTGAAACACTAGTTCCTGTACAATCACTGAAGTTAAACAAATTTGAGCCTGGTCAATGCCTAGATAGGTGACCACTTGGGAATATAATGCTTCAATGTATTTGTTGTGTAATGAATAATAGCTCGGAATTATTAATTGGAGAGCTGGATTCCAATTCCTGTTGGGTTCATTATATCCACATGTGAAAATACCCTTGGGAAAGCTATGACTCCTCCTCTTCTCCTTCTAGATATGGCTTAATTAGTAAGACTTGTATCACTAAACCATCATTATCTAAAAAAAAAAATTCTGACAATCTAAAAATATTTCCTGCCTTTAAATAACCTGCAAAGTGTTAATAATTCATAAGCCATAGAAAAGAAATCTGTCAATCCATCAAATACTGATTAGCTACTCAGGCAGGATTTATTTACATTCTCTGGAATAAAAAATGTATAAAAACAACCGTGGCCACAAAGTGAGGGGTCAGTTTATATATGGATTGTTATATAGAATTGATCCCCCACTTTATTTCCACGTTATAATTTCTTGTTTTGTTGTTCAAATTCTGATTAGTTATGAATCCCCCCTCTTCTCCCACCAGCTATCAGTTAATTAGTAAGACTTGTATCACAAAACCATTATTATCTCAAAAACTAAAATCTTACAATCTATTTCCTTGCTTTAAATAACCTGCAAAAGTTAGATAAGCTGTAGAAAACAAATCAATGAATCCTTATAATCCTCACTTCCTGCCATCAATCAGTCAAATACTGATTAGCTACACAAGCATGTCTTTTAGATTTATTTACATTCTCTAGAATATAAATTTATAGAAACTACCCTGACCACAAAGTGAGGGGTCAGTTTATATATGAATTGTAATATACATTTGATCCCCCAATTTATATACGCATTATAATTTCTTATTTGTTTATCAAATTCTGATTAAATATGAACTCACTCCCACCCTCAGCTATGTGTTAATTAGTATGACTTGAATCACTGAATCATTATCATCTTAAAAAAATAATTCTTACCATCTAAAAATTCTTCCTGGCTTTAAATAAAATGCAAAAAGTTGAGAAACCATAGAAAATGATTCAGTCGATCACTCTTTTAATGTTTCTTTATCTATCAATATATTAAAAGAAAATTCTATATTTCACCATATCTGGCACCATATATACCCCCTATCTCCATATTAACATTTAATTTTACATTTTTATCAAATTTGTCTAGGTACAAATGTTGGTAGACTATGGCATCTAGAAAAATATTAATAGATCTGTTTTGAACATTTTATATATTTTTTTTTCTTAATTTGTGTGAGTATGAGTGTAAGATGGAGTGTTCTTACAAGATATCAAATACAGTAATTTTTGAGAGATTTGTAAACATTGTCTAGGGTAAAATTTTTGAGTCTAAGTTTCTTTGTTTTTTTTTTTCTCTCACTTTTTTGTTTAAGATTTGAATTCTTTTATTCCATACTATTCAATTGGTTTTTTGAATGTGGATGAGATAAAATTAGCCAACAATCCTGGGGAATTATTTTCATTCCACAACACTTTGTCTTATAAATTCTTCCTGTTGGTCTTTTTGCAGCTCACGACTTGGCCAAAGAACAAAAAATGAACTTTGGAGATGATATTGCCAGTGCATTGAGAAGTGCAAAGAAGAAACGCTGGAATGTGCTTGAAGAGAAACGAATTCAACAAGAGATAGCTCTCCAAACTTACCTCAACAAATTAATCAACGAGGAGATGGTTCGGTAAGTTTCTGTTTTAAGAGTTTTTTTTTTTTTAGTTTTTTTCCTCCTCTTGTCATACATTCTTCAAATTTTATATGGAAATTTAAACAAAGTAATTTTATTTATTAATCTGACAGATTTTATCGTTGTAGACGTTTTTTTAGTTTATACCCATATTTGAGTAGTCACTTCGTTTACTTATTAAATGGTATATTTATTTTCGTCTACCGGACTAAATGTTCAGTAAGTAGCCCATTAGAGTCATAGGGGTACCACAGGTACTGAAGCTGCAGTAGCAGTGGTTTTTCCTGCGAACATAGCCTGATGGTGCCCAACCCTTTCCAGGATGGTTTTGAATTTAGTTTGTTTCTTTTTCTTGGACTGGTTGCCACCCAAGACTATAGGACCCAGTCTGTCCTGCTATTTACTGGAAGTTTGGAGAAAAGATAGTTTTATATTTTTCCCCAAGACTATTAGCATGTTTGTTTTTTTTTTTTTTTTTTTTTTTTTTTAAAGGTGGAGTAGTATGGGAAGGGACAGTGTACAAAGTTTTCTGCCTGACAAAGAAACTCCTCCCCCTTAACAAAAAATTTAAATCTGATGTTTAGGAAATTAGTCAGGCCTAGAACTTTTCACCAGCCTTTTTATGCATGTAACAGAAACAATGATATTGCCATATCTTTAGGGAATATAAGATTTTGTTAAAAAATAACAATGTGAATGTCTTATACACAAGATATCAGGGGAAACAATTGTTAAGCAATAGTATTGTCATTTCTCATGGTATCTAAGTAATATTAGTTAACTTGGCAATGACCATATTCTTTCCAAATAACATACAACAGATTGTACTGGTTTATATGGTACTCACAGAATGGAACAATCTCTGATCTGATCCATTAATGGCTAAAGTATTGCCCTTTTATTTAGTCAGAGAGTGAGCAGGTAAATTTCTTAACTGCATTACCTTACATGGCTAAAACACTCCTTGCTATTTATCCATAACTGGGGGAGAAGTGGAGTCATGCCTGACACTATTTAAATAGACCAGTTCACTCATAAAAAATAAATATATATATATATATATATATATATATATATATATATATATATATATATATATATATATATATATTAGTGGACTCAGCAATTTTCAATCTGCTTGTCTGAATCATCTTCAAGAAGTGAGAGCAAAATCTAGAAGGTCAGCCAATCTAACAGTGATCTCATCTCACCATCCTCACACTTGCTCCATATGTGGCCTCCTTTGTAAATCACTAGTGGGTCTTAAATGCCACTTAAGATTATCGCACAAACTTTCATAACTGAATCAATAAGCTGTCAGATCCTCATACGTCGAGTTCATTATTATATATATATTTATTTTTTTTTTTTATTTTTTTTTTTTTTAAGCAATAATTTTTGTAGATTAAGATTAGCCTTTGCTGGTAAAATTTAAATCCTTGTAACTGACTTGGTTTTACTTATTCATTGATTTGTTTTTTTGTTGTTTTTGTTTTTTTCATTAGAGTTTTGCAGGTTATTTAAAGCCAAAAAATATTTTTTAGTTTAAGAATTTTTGTGAGATAATGATTTTTTACTGATAGTTGTTTTATTAACTCCTAACAGAGGGGAGAAGAGGAGGTGGATTCATACCCTTTCCCAAGGGTATTTTCACATAGGTGAATATAACAACCCCAACTGTAATTGAAACTTTGCTCTCCAATTTCCAATTCTGAGCCACTGCTGCACCCACACATTCAAATTTACTGTATGTGATGACATATAAGATGCACCCCAATTTCAGCATGGAAAATCAAGAAAAATTAGCAATTAGTAAAATTATTAGTAAATGGCACAGCCTATGCTATATTTATTGAGGTATTATTTTGGTTAAACAAGCCATGATTACAATTAAACAAAAATAATAGGAAAAAAGAACATGAGCCTATAAAAACTTTATTATATCCAAAGTCAAGAAAACAAAATAAAAATCAAGCAATTATTACAATTGAGCAAAACAGTACAGTTACCATTAAAATTTTATTCCTCTTTAAATCCATAAAATTCATCGTCTTCATCAAAACTCTGATACTCATTTTCAATACTATCATTGTCATTAAATAATGCATCATCTTCCGTTCCATTGAGAGCTACACTTTTTAAGATTTCACAACAATTTCTGATTTAATATTATCCCAATCTTGCTTCACCCAACACTGGGTCTTTTTATTCTTCCTGTAAGTGTAAAGTCGTGATCAGGTATTGCCATCCATGTGTTCCATTGCTCCTTCATGTTTAAGTGTATGCTAATAGGATTTGCCAGGTAGCTAATTTTGGCTGGCGATTGTGAATTTAAAACCTACATATGGTATGTAAGATGCAGGGGAATTTTAAGATATTTTTTGTTAAAAAGAAAAAAAAAAGGGCGCTTTATATGCTCTCAAATACAGTACATACATGGTATTCCGAAGCAGACCTGACTTGATGTTGCTTAACTTTGGTGATTGTACAAGAACTGGTGTTTCAACATGATATGGCCATGTTGTATCTGTTTGATACTAAGAAAATTAATGACAAAGTGGAAAAAATTTTCCATTGTGACACATTTAGTCTTTCAGGCCTTCATCAGACTAAGGTGATGTTTAGGTTGTAGCAGTCAGCTTCAGATGAGGTCTTGTGATCTCGCATTGTATTTGTGTTTCAGAAAATTAATTTGTCCTTTTGTTCTAAATTATTTACACTATATTCAGACTATTATTCTCCTCATCTTTGTTGTTATTACAATGTCTCAGCTGTTGTGTCTTCTGGCTTTCCTCAGGTGTATATTGATCTAGGTAAACTACAGGGAATTCTGAGCTGAACTTGGGTAGACTGTACTTGTTCCATTGCTCTTTTCTGGAAATAGTTCTTATTTTTATTTAGTACTACTGTTTTCACCAAGTACACACTGCCTGACCTAGGGATTGAACTCACAATCACTATGTCACCAAATTCACAAACCAACACCTAGGCCGTTGTCCCATAGAACAATTTGCTATAGTGAACTTGGAGCTTTAAACCTAACCTGGTTGTTGATCAGTTACAACTGCTGCTGCCATGTTTTCTGTGGTTGGAGATATCATTTGTCTTTTTTCATTATTGGTGGCTCCCATTCTATGCTAGGCCTACTAAGGAGATCCTTACAACCTAGCATATGCACTGATTCTTTCAGATATCTAATTCTTCAGTATTCTTCTTTGTCCAGTATTTTCACATTATTCCACATGAAGGCTGATGATTACCACTTCCCCTTCATACATGATCAGCCATGCCCAACTTCATTGTCACTCCTCTCACTATGGCTTTTTGATGTTCCTCTAGCTTTGCTTTTACATTTTTCTAAATACTTAATCAAAATGTTACTATTGTCAATGGCTGATCTCTCAACCTATTAATCTCTCACTATCTCAGATGATCTTGTCTCTTTATTCTTACTCTTGATATTAAATCTCAGGTTGTTCTCAATACAATAGATTTTTTTAATATGTACCTGATGCTGTGAGGCAAATAAATTGTATGTTGTGGCTGAAGTGCTACTATTATCCAATAAGTAGTTGTTGCAATTTGGAAATGAAATGCTATCAATAAATATAAAATAATCATTAAAAAAATTAATTCAAAAATATACTTGTGTATAAGCCAACTTCATATATAGTGCAACCCTCTGAATTTTTTGACATGAATTTTAAACCCTCCAGAAAAAGATTTGTGTATAGTGCAACCAGTCAGTGAAAATGTATGATTTTTAACCTCTTAAAAAAAATTGCATGCATATAGTGTAACTCTCTCACCCCAAAACCACTATTTCTTTGCATAACAATCTGATCGTAAAAGCTCAAACTATACTCTAGTACAGTAGTTCTCGACCTTTTTCTATTCATGGCCTCCTTTGGAGTGATTTTTTTTTTTTTTTTTTTTAATTTTTTTTGCAAGAAAGCTCTGCACATAAATTCATACACAAATTTAAAAATGTTCTGCAAAATAAAAATTAAAAAATAAAGTTATGCACACCAGTAACATAAAAGACACTTAAATTAAGTTTATTAGAACTAAAATATAGAGAGCAATATTGTAGTACTGTGGACCCATTCATTGAACTTGTGTCCTACCATAAAATTTATCAGGGCCCCTCTGTGGCCCCGTTAAGAAACGTTGGTCTACTTACGAAAGCAATGTTTCTGCATTTGTTGTTTGCGTTAGTTGTTATCCTGTTATTCCTGCAGTAAAATAAGGAACCATATTAAATAATATAACATTAACTTTGTTGTTTTTTTTTATTTAAACCTCCAGACCAAGGCAGCGTTCAAGATGGAGGGGTCTGAGGTTGAAACAATTTATTATATTACATTTGATAGATATCCTATGAGACATTGCATAGCTGTATGGCTCCTTCGTTCCAAAAGGTTGTCGACCCCTGTTCTACTATATACAGTAAATCTGCTAGACTAAACAGGAGAAAAAAAAAAAAAAAGTTAATTAAGGGGAAACAATCATGTTTTGTTTAAGTTCAGTTACCTCCCTTAAAGAACATTCCGGAATCTTTATCTGCGACATGATAATTAATTGCACTCTTTTGAAATATAATTTTGATGTCTATTTTAGGAGTGACTTCTAAGAATTAGATCGTAAGTTTTTAAAATAACATAATATTATGTTCATAGTAAAACTTTGTCTAGCTCTTAAAATATGTAGTCCGGTTTCATTTTTTTTTTTTTTCTTTTTTTTAAATTTAAAAAATCTTTAGAACTTGTCTTTGAAAATCAAAATAAAACTTGACAATAATACAAATTTGGATTTATAAGAAGGCTACAGGAAAGTTTGTATCTACTACTACTATAATTATTATCATCATAATCATCATCATTATAATAATAATATTTTTTTAATCATTTCACCCCAAGCAAAGCAATAAAGTCATTAAGATGCAAGGGGTTACTGAGTGAGAATATATGAGAAAAAGAAAACATTATTAAAGAAACAGGA